TACAAGGGCGGGCCAGACGGGTGAAAGAGGCGTGTTTGCGCTACCGCTCTGATAGTCTTGGAGACAGAGAGAGCTGACCAATCCAAGCAGGCTTTGTATACAACAACCAGCCAATCACGGCAAGCGATGTACCTTACCGGCGATTGGCTGGTTGGTGTATACAAAGCCTGCTTGGATTGGTCAACTCTCCCTGCCTGCCCAGCCCTCCCTGTCTCCAAGACTATCAGAGCGGTAGCGCAAACACGCCTCTTTCACCCGTCTGGCCCGCCCTTGTATCTTATTACCTCCTTCTCTGCCTCTCAGATCTCGCACATGCGTGCCTGTGCCGCTTCACTGCAGTCCTCAGGAGCGAGATCTGAGAGGCAGAGAAGGAAGTAATAGGATACAAGGGCAGGCCAGACGGGTGAAAGAGGCGTGTTTGCGCTACCGCGTGTTTTTCTGGGCACAGCGCCGCTCTCTCTCTTTTTTCCATACCCCAGGTGTCCCGGACGCCTGCAGCTTGCTCCGCCCTTGCTGCTTTCATACGGTCGCCGCATATGGCGGGGATGCGGCCGCGGCCGTTTTTGAGCTCCCCCCCACTATATGCGGTGACCGCAGATTCTCCAGTCCGGCTTGGAAGTTTCAGCACGACACCCGGCGTATAAGACGACCCCCGACTTTTGAGAAGATTTTCCTGGGTTACAAGGTAGTCTTATACGCCAGAAAATACAGTATTTATGCAGGACTATGGTGGCAAGAAAGGTGCTCAATCCATATGCAGCAGGCATTGCTACAAAAACTACAAAATCATGTATATAAAAGAGTGCAGGTTATTCCAACTCAACACAGCATTAATTCATGATCAATGCTTTTTCTGATGTTCCTTTTACTGATGGTATTATATAGGTTAGTATTATTTTTGTTTTGTTTTTTGGCTAGAATCATCCCCTTGTCCAAGGGAAAATGTGTATGTCATGCACAGCAGTAGAGGCACCTATTTTGTAGGATAACATCAGACCAGCATAGCTAGTAGATAATGTTTTCATCCCTCAGCTCACAGAGAGCCGAGAAGTGATAGGGAGAAAACACACAAAATGATGCCCCATTATGGATCTGCTCCCTTTGACAACCAGTCCCTAAATGACCAAAAAGCTAAAACATAAGCAAGAACATTACTTCTCAAAATGCCAGCTTGATAATTTTAAAGTATGAAAGAATAAATATGAAAAGGAAAATACATCTGTACATTCTTATTTCTTTATTGCTTAGATTTCAAGTTCATTACAGTAGAAGGAAATACTGAATATTTTCAGCTTTCTTCTCAATACCTATTTTTGAAAAACAAAGCATGTTTGTGCTTACAATAAAAAGTAATTATAAACAAAACATTACAGAAGACAATAGTATATCTGACGTATTCCCAGCTCCTGGTAGGGAGTAAACATGTTCTTATTATCAATTAGAAAAGTTTAATTTATAATTGGAATCAAATGAGTGCTATTTATATAATTCATCCAGCTTTGTTTAGTAGATGTTTTATGTGGCTTCTGTGCACATAAATACCTCTAACCCACTTTACAACTGAATTGATATATGATCTGATTAGGAGAGCTAGTCTTCTGTTTTGTTTTTTGTGTTTGGCGGGGGAAGGGCATAGGAGAAAGAGGTGAATAAGTCAATGTACCTATTTACCCACCCCAAATATCTCCTATTTCAAAGAATCCTTATTTGGATCTATTATATTTATAAAATTATAATTTTAGATTTTTACTATTTTAGATTTATTATCCTTTCAGATTAATTTCTTTTGCAAGATATTCTCTGGTATACTTCAGTGTGAGGGAGGAGCATGTAAGCATCTCTTTAGCAAATGCCTCCTTGCACCCCCCCCCCCCAATAGTGTTTTGTTTATAATGTAGCTTGTGAAGTGCTCACTCTAACAAAGGATATTTGGAAGCTGTAGAGCTTTATGAATGTAAAGCCAATATTCATCCTATGTGATTTATATCCCAGTTTATAGTTTATGAAGGGTTGAGGAGGAAAAAAATAAAGGTACAATTTGGCATCTCATTTAAGCTCTACGCTTCATTAGCAAATGTACACATTGAAACATTAGCTTCCCCTTTAAATATGAAGTAATTTTCTTGCTCAGAGTTAAATGATGATTTTTGTAAATATTTCTAAATGACAACACACCTTTTTAAGATGGCACAAAAGTGTTTAAAAAGTATGTGGAGACCAAAAGTAGAAGTTCCTGCAAGAATGTATCTATTGGGTTTAAAGATGACTAGTCCAAAGCAGTTACTTGTTTTAAGGAAAGTCCAATGAATAGTGCACCTGCAGCTCTTTTGGGAATCAACAGCCGTTGTGTGCATGCAAATGAC